CCGCCCCCGCCCCCGCCCCTCAGGTCACCTTCAGGTGGGGCGTATCGCGGGAGGGGACCTGGAAAAGCAGTAGACTTGGGGCCCACGTCCACCCCACTGAATCCGTGCTCCTTCAGAGCAAGTTTGCAAACTCCAAGTCTATCGCTTCTAGGTGAAAGAGCAAACCATTTGACCCGGGGAGATGGCAGAATTCGAGGCGTGTATTTTGCAGTTGTTGGGGTTTTTGCTTTTTTCTTCGGGGGTCCAGGCAAGGTCTTGAGCCTAAAGCAGTAGACTTGGGGCCCACGTCCACCCCACTGAATCCGTGCTCCTTCAGAGCAAGTTTGCAAACTCCAAGTCTATCGCTTCTAGGTGAAAGAGCAAACCATTTGACCCGGGGAGATGGCAGAATTCGAGGCGTGTATTTTGCAGTTGTTGGGGTTTTTGCTTTTTTCTTCGGGGGTCCAGGCAAGGTCTTGAGCCTGCCAGGCAAACGCTCCATCGCTAAGCCACATGCCCAACCCAACGCCTAAGATCGAGGCGCATCCTTAGCAAGCCTCCCTTCAGACGCGGGTCTGTGGCCTTAGCAAGTTAACTGTATCTCAATTTCCTCTGTGAAAGAGGACTAGTAACTGTAGGTGAAAATACTGAAGGCATAGATAGAAAAGGCAGGAAAGCAGGGTGTGGCGACGCACGCCTTTAATCTCAGTATTTGGGAGGCAGAGGCAGGGCATCTTAATCATGGTCTACATAGTGAGTTCCAGGCCGGTAGCAGCTACTGGGAAGCCCAGTACCCCCTCCCAAAAAAGAGAGAGAGAGCAGACGAGGTCTTGGTTCTCAAGTTTTAAACCTACATAACAAAGGCACGGAAATGGGTGTTATTAAAATGCAGATTTCTGAGTGCCACCCTTCGACCTGTGATTCCTTAGATTTAGCTCCTGGAACTGTTAGTCCTCAAGTATTGAAGTTAGGAGATGGCTTGTGCTTCACACTAGGAGAAACTGCAATAAACCCTATGGGAAGGTAGTTTTCATGGATATATATTGCTCCCCAATTCGTGTGCCTCCAAGTATTCTCCCAGCAGGCAAGGTTGTATCTACTTTAAATCAGACACTGAGAGCCCAGGAACAAGAACCAGGCTCGGGGGTCTACACCTGTAATTCCAGCACTGGGAAGCAGAGGTGTGTGTGGGGGGCGGGGGATTAGGAATTCTAGGCCAGTTTCAGCTACAGCAGAAGTTTGAGGCCAGCAAGGGATATAGGAGGTCTACCATCACCACCAAGATAAATAGCTAGACAGACAGACAGATTGGCCCTGTGTCTCAGTTGGTAAACTGTTGGCCTAGCATACATGAAGCCCTGGATTCCATTCTCAGCACTAGGATACCATACAAAGCCACGCTTGGTGGTGCACACCCATAATCTCAGCACCAAGGAGGTAGAGACAGAAGGATCAGGAGTTCAAGTTCATCCTCAGCTATGTGGAGTTCAAGACCAACCTGGACTACACACCGTATCTCAAAGAAAACAAAACAAAACAAAAAAAAATATGTTTGCCTTATGGATGCTCTCTTTATCCAATTATGTTCCTCATCCTGCTATATGCTTTTTTCTAGCACATATCACTAACTTATCCTATGGATCTAATATCTGTTTTTGTCTGCTCAGAGAGTAGGGGCTTTAGTGTTCACCCCTTCTCCCCCAATCTTTCACTGATAAAGAGGCTGGGTTGTCATGTTACTTGTACATTTTTCAAATACATGCTTCCATGACCTGCCTAAAGTATTTTATTCTCAGTCTCTAGTGAGTACCAAGAACTACAGAATATATTTCTCCAAGCCTATTATGATTGGGTTACTGCTCACCCTCCAGCTCCAGCCTTACCCCCAGTTTGTCAGGTTCTGAACAATCCACTAGAACCTCTAATTCTATGTCTTTGAAGATTATGTTTAGAACATTCGCTTTTTCAAATACTGTGGGTTAGCTGGACATGTTAATAATACTCGTGCCTGTATCCCAGCACTCAAAAGACTGAGGCAAGGGCTGGGCATGGTGGTACAAACCTTTGATTCCCGTACCTGGAGGCCCAAGCAGGAGGATCTCTTTAGGATCCAGGCCAGCCTGGTGTACATAGCAAGTTAGAAGCCAGCTGGGGCTACAGGGACACCCTGTCTCAAACAAAAACAAAAACAAAGACTGAGGCAGGAGGGCTCAAACCAAACTGCCTTACATAGCAAGACCCTGTCACAAAACAAAGCAGTGATGAGTCCTCAGCTTTAGTTGTGGGATTTTAATTCTATCCTTCAAATGAAATCTTTCCTTTATCTACATTCCCTCATGGAGATTTAAATTCTCCTGCTCCATTGTTAGTTTATTGTTGTTTTGTCATAGAAGTTTGTATTTGACAGTGTTGAGTTTAGTTGAGACCTGTTAGTTTCAGCTGCAATCTCAGTCGGTTCCCCACTCTGCTCTTTGGCATTTTCTGTCTGATCTAAAGGGCAGGGAGATTAGAGTCAAAACAAATCCACTTTCCCCTCACAAACTCTTTTTTATACATCTTCCAAACTAATAGTTACTTCCAAGCTTCTCTTTTCTTGAAAACGTAGTCATGCAAACCTATTCTTCCAGCACTTACAAGGCCAAGGCAGTAAGATTGCCTTGAGTTTCAGGCCAACCTTTGTTGCATACCAAGCACCAGCCAGTGAGAGCTACATAGCAAGCCCCTGTCTCCATAAAAGAAGAGTCGGGGGCTGGAGATGACTTAGTGGTGAAGAGTACTTGCTGTTCTTACAGAGGACCTGGGTTCTATTCCCAGCACTCACATGTTGGCTCACCACTGTAAATCCAGTTCCAGGGAATATAGCACCCTCTTCTGATCTCTGAGGGCATCAGACATGCATGTGGTACACATACATACATGCTGGCAAAACATAATAGAAAATAAAAATAAGGGGGCTGGAGAAATTACTCAGCAGTTAAGAGCACTGGTTGCTCTTGCAGAAGACCTGGGCTCAATTCCCAGTACCTACACGGTGGCTAACAACCATCCCTAACTCCCAATTCTAGGGGAATCTGACACCCTCTTCTGACCTCCAGCATTGCACCACGCAGGTGGGGTGCACTTACATCTTACATGCATGCAGGCAATATATTCATACACATAAAATAAAAATAAATAAAATAGCTGGGCGTGGTAGTGCACGCCTTTAATCCCAACACTGGGGAGGCAGAGGCAGGCAGATCTCTGTGAGTTCAGGGCCAACCTCGTCTGCATAGTGAGTTCCAGGACAGCTAGGGCTACAGGGAGACCCTGTCTCAAAAAGACCAAAAAAAAAAATAAAAAAATAAAAAAATAATTAGAAGCTAGGATCCACATATGAGAAAATGTGAAGTGTTATTCTGAGTCTAGGTTACCTCCGTGAATATAATATTTTCCATTTCTGTCTATTTTATAGAAATTTTCATGGCTAAATAAAATCCCATTGTGTATATTACCACATTTTCATTATCCATTCACTTGTTGATTGACACCTAGGCTGATTCCATTTCCTTACTGTTGTGAATACAGCAACAATAAACATGGATGTGCGAGTAACTTTGTGGTAGGATTTAGAGTTCTTCGGTTTTATGGCCAGGAATGGTATAACTGTGATAGGTGGTAGTCTATTTTTCTAGTGAATGAGTGAGTGAGTGAGTTAGTTTTGAAAGTCTTTTGCCTTTGTTCTTTTTGAGACAGGATCTCTCTGTAGCCCCAGCTGGCCTGGAACTCTTTATGTAAACCAGGCTGACCTTGAATTCACAGAGATCTGCCTGCCTCTGCCTCCCCAGTGCTGGGATTAAAGGCCTGTGCCACCGTGCCCAGCCTAGTTTTGAAAATCTTATTTAACCCAGCCTGGCCTCTTAACTATGTAACCAAAATTGGCTCTTGACCCTCCTGCCTGTACCTCTAGACTGCTACGGTCATCAGTATGTACTACTATACCTGGTTTTAGTTTTTTGAGAAACGTCCACAGTAATTTCCTTATAGCTGCACCAATTTTTGCTGCTACAAACAGTAAATAAGGATTCCCCTTCGCCCATATCTTCACCAGTATTTGTTTATTTTTTTTTATTATTTATTTATTTATTTTGGTGTTTTTGAGACGGGGTCTCCCTGTAGCCCCAGCTGGCCTAGAACTCACTATGTAGACCAGGCTGGCCTCGAACTCACAGAGAGCCACCTGCCTCTGCTTCCCTGGGATTAAAGGCATGTGCCACCACACCCAGCTGTTTTCTTCATTTTTCAAAAGATTTATTTTTATTCTTTTAAGTGTGTGTATGCGTGTGTGTGTGTGTGTGTGTGTGTGTGTGTGTGTGTGTGTGTGTGCGCGCACAAGCACACAGCTACCCTTGGGGGCCAGAAGAATTGGTGTTGGAACCCCTGGAGCTGGAGTTACAAGCAGTTGTGAACCAAATGATATGGGTACGTGGAACTGAACTCTGGTCCTTTGGAAGAGCAGCACCCACTCTTAACCATGTCCTCAGCCCAGTATTTGTTTTCTTTATGGAA